GTGAGGCGAAGCGAAAGAGAGGATAGCTAAAGATTATGGGAAAAAATGGTTCTTACTGTAATTCAATAAACTGCCGTCCAAAAAAACAAAACCATCGCAATCTTTGAACGGATTTTGACCGGTGGGTCCGAAGCATAGGGAGAAATAGGTCCTAAACTTTGCTAAAAGAGGTGTAAAACGCAGTTTCAAACTCAAAAATTGAGACGAGCCTCAATCTCTGTTCGTGTTTAGTGAAAAACACCGAAGTTCTAGTGGTTCATGGTCTAAGACAAAAAAAGGAAACTTCGATGATGACGGGAAACAAAATGGAGTTGGGGTAAGAAGGAAAAATGATGGCAAAGCCTGGAAAATGTATTGGTCTAATGTCTACGGCAGATTAAGTGAGCCGAGTCTCAGAGTAAGAGTAATCTCGTTCTGGTATTCAGAAAGAGGTTACCAGTCAAAAGAGGGTATCCGCAAACTCCATACGTCAGGAAAGTCTAAACACGTCTAAATAGGCCACCTCCTGGCCACGAATAGCATCGGCTGTATACGATCCATCCACTAGATCATCCGAGAACAGATGTTCAATGCACTGGGTGATTAAAGCCGTCTGAACGTAAGTAAATGCGAACGAAGGCTTTCAAATATTTATTTATTTATTTATTCATTCAATGCTGGTCTTAAACCATAAACATTTAAATGCAAACGAGTAGTGAAAATGGATTTAGACCGAAGTTTGCCTCCAACTATTTGCATATGTTTATATATGTATACAAATAATTCATAGTTTAATAAATAAATAATTAATATATATATGTATCTTTTTTCAGATACTTTTTATTGTGAGTATATATAGCAGAAAGCTTATCCTTCCTAACTTGGTGGCAATTTGAAGCTTCGGAATGAATAAGCTCCAACTTTGACGTTGGCTGTCAGATAGGGGGTGTGAGGTCATTTTGTTTTCACACGAATCGAATGTGGATATGAATATCATGATAAAATCACATGACTGCAGAGCAAACATCCAATCTCTTCATACAAAATTAATGACTCCACAACACTACAATTTCAGGAGAATTATTGAAGTCCCTATAACCCGTATATCCGTAGGCACAAGTAGGTTTTCGATATGACTCGTAGATCCGATAAAAGAGTTGGATTCATTCTATTCCGAAACCTCAGTCCACACCGGGCAAGAATACATTTTGGGATTTAAGGCCTTATGAAATTCAATGGAGACATACGGCTTCGTCTTATGAATGTGGGAAAATTCTGTTGCAAGCTCTTGTATCAGAAATCACAATATCCAGTTCTGTGCTTCAAGATATGCTGTCGAAATGTCGACCAGACCAATATTCGAGCATTTAAGATGCAAGTAAATACTGACCCCATCACTCCTCGTAGTTGTGACTTAAGACTGATGTAATTGCTGATTGCGAGAACTTAGGCATTCTTCTCTCCCATTACTTTTTCCTATCGTGCCAGGTCCTAATGTTGCTTCTATAATGGCTTTAATGGACCGTGTTGCTAACACGAAGTCTATTAACACTTTATCCTTTGACCTTTACAGATGAGATAGCCCCGTTCTGTCGGAAGGGCAGAGCAGGAGTCGTCTCGCCTGACATCTTTTCTGGGGCATTTGGGTTGACAGGAGGGGAAAGGATAGTTGACTGTGTCACATCCACAAGTGCCTGCTTGCCCCAACGACCCGGCCCACGCCCGGACGACGTTTGCCAATTGACTAGACTCGGTTGGAGTATCTGAGACAAGCACCTGATAGTACCTGTCGGTTAGCTCACAGGCGCTTGTCTGGAGAAAACGGTGCTCTTCTGCCATAAATGGGCCAGTTGTGTGTTCTTTCGGCCCAGGAGGACTATGCCAATCGGCCTATGAAAGTACACTGAACCTGTCTGTAGGACGAGGAGATGTAACGCAGCGGCAGACTGGTTAAACAGACGTCATTTGGTAGGGAAAGTGCTCCAAAACTATATGCATACAATGAAAGTGTACAGACATGAGTTAGATAGAAGTTAGACTGAACTGAGAAGCTGCTACCAGCACTCAACGACGGATCTCAAATGGGTAGAAGCAAACCTCGGAGAATGCAACAAACTCGCAAGGAGAAAAGAGGATACATTTCAACAGATCTAAAATATATCTTTGTCTAAGGCATACATTTGAGCAGACTGCTTCCGTGACATCAAGTCGATTGATATAGAATAAACACGAAGAGTAACTGGGTTTCGTGAAGTCTTTTAAGAATGTTTCGGCGTCCAGGAGAAACTGGGCTATGCTTTCGTCCATCATAAGATGGACATTATCAGAGCTGAAAGTCATTCTTCCAAAAGTGCCAAGTCAAAACTGGCCCTACCCTACATGCCGTATATGCTCATACCGGTAAAAATATTAAAATATAGATGGATATAAAATGATCTGATCAATTATCTTATACTCGACTATTATACACAGAAATACACATTCGAATATATGCAAGTTAGCCAAACGATTCTATACTGACTTTTATAAGAATGGGTTCCAGCTCGAAGCTTTAGCCCGTTTTCTCTCGATAGAAGGAAGGTTGTCTCGTGGACTGAACAGCATAAACTTCGTATTAACGCCAAACAGCGACAGAACAATGGAAATCGACCTTCGTCTTCATCATGCATATTCATACGGAATAAAAGCCTCCACAAAAAGTTTATACTATCCTCATCTTTTCGGTTCAAAATCCTCTCCAATTGCCAAGTAAAAGGTGAGAGCGCATCGGTTCAATGTCATGGATATAAAAATAAACACCTATAAGTCCATATATCTATATGTGTGTGTATGTGTGTAAATACACAATTATGCGTAGCTGTATACATGCTTGAAAATATAAGCAAAGTGGTTAGGCTTATAAACGAAGTTATGTCGCTGGGACGATTATCTTTCTTGTTTTGATTTATTCTTCTGGGCACTCCAACAATTCCACAGCTGCGTCGCAGTAGCTACAGCAGGCCCACCGTTGCTTCATGCAAAGTTAACTGAAGTGTCTATCTTGTTTCTAAGCATGAAATATACATTTCATTTCTAAATTTATCCCTGTTAAATAGTTCAATTAACGAGCTCAGAACTAAACTATTTAGCCGAAGAAAAGTAGCCCAAAATGTTCTGATTTTCCGTTTGATAGAGGTCCTCTTTCATTGCATACGTTTGGCTTGACCGTCTTCTTACAACTGTATCGTTCTTAGAAGTAAGTTGACCTCGTTGTCGCAACATGGTCTTGTTGTCAAGGCGACTATGTAGTGCCATAGTAGTTGTCATGGTTCCCAGCATCTGACAGTGGACTTGATACATTCTCAAACGTTTCGCCGGCCTCTTAGTCGGCAGAGAATGGCAAGGCTCACTGATGATGCCGACTACGAGGCCAGCGAAACGTTTGAGAATGTATCAGGTCCACTGTCAGATGCCGGGAACCATGACAACTACTATGGCAGACGACTTCGGACTAGGTGCGTTCTACATAGTCGCC